ATGGACAATTAATGACTGTCGTTGCTGTATGGGGAAGTCAATGTGATACATTGTGGGCATCAATGGCTGTCCTCACTGTATGGTGAGGTTGATGTGTTGCATTGATGGCTGTCTTCACTGTATGATGACACCGGTGTGAGATGCATTGTGGGCGTTAATGGCTGTCCTCGCTGTACGGTGAGGTTGGTGTGAGATGCATTGTGGGCATTATTGGCTGTTCTTACTGTATGGTGAGGTCGGTGTGAGATGCATTGTGGGCATTATTGGCTGTACCTGCTGTATGGTGAGGTCGCTGTGAGATGCATTGTGGGCATTATTGGCTGTTCTTCCTGTACGGTGAGGTCCGTGTGAGATGCATTGTGGCGTTAATGGCTGTCCTCGCTGTATGGTGAGGTCGGTGTGAGATGCATTGTGGGCATTATTTGCTGTTCTTCCTGTACGGTGAGGTCCGTGTGAGATGCATTGTGGGCATTAATGGTTGTCCTCGCTGTACGGTGAGGTTGGTGTGAGATGCATTGTGGGCATTATTGGCTGTACCTGCTGTATGGTGAGGTCGGTGTGAGATGCATTGTGGGCATTATTGGCTGTACCTGCTGTATGGTGAGGTTGGTGTGAGATGCATTGTGGGCATTATTGGCTGTACCTGCTGTATGGTGAGGTCGCTGTGAGATGCATTGTGGGCATTATTGGCTGTTCTTCCTGTACGGTGAGGTCCGTGTGAGATGCATTGTGGGCATTATTGGCTGTACCTGCTGTATGGTGAGGTCGCTGTGAGATGCATTGTGGGCGTTAATGGCTGTTCTTGCTGTACGGTGAGGTCGGTGTGAGATGCATTGTGGGCATTATTGGCTGTACCTGCTGTACGGTGAGGTCCGTGTGAGATGCATTGTGGGCATTATTGGCTGTACCTGCTGTATGGTGAGGTCGGTGTGAGATGCATTGTGGGCGTTATTGGCTGTACCTGCTGTACGGTGAGGTCCGTGTGAGATGCATTGTGGGCGTGTGGCTGTACCTGCTGTATGGTGAGGTGGTTGTGAGAGGATGCATTGTGGGCATTGTGGCTGTACCTGCTGTATGGTGGGGTCGGTGTGAGATGCATTGTGGGCATTGTGGCTGTACCTGCTGTATGGTGAGATTAAGCTGTGAGATGCATTGTGAAGGCGTTAATGGCTGTTGTTCTTGCTGTACGGTGAGGGTGGGTGGCAGGGGTGCATTGTGGGCATTATTGGCTGTACCTGCTGTGCAGTTGAGGTCCGTGTGTGAGATGCATTGTGGGCATTATTGGCTGTACCTGCTGTATGGTGAGGTCGGTGTGAGATGCATTGTGGGCGTTATTGGCTGTTCTTGCTGTACGGTGAGGTCGGTGTGAGATGCATTGTGGGCATTATTGGCTGTACCTGCTGTATGGTGAGGTCGGTGTGAGATGCATTATTGGCTGTACCTGCTGTATGGTGAGGTCGGTGTGAGATGCATTGTGGGCATTATTGGCTGTACCTGCTGTATGGTGAGGTCGCTGTGAGATGCATTGTGGGCGTTATTGGCTGTTCTTGCTGTACGGTGAGGTCGGTGTGAGATGCATTGTGGGCATTATTGGCTGTACCTGCTGTACGGTGAGGTCCGTGTGAGATGCATTGTGGGCATTATTGGCTGTACCTGCTGTATGGTGAGGTCGGTGTGAGATGCATTGTGGGCGTTAATGGCTGTTCTTGCTGTACGGTGAGGTCGGTGTGAGATGCATTGTGGGCATTATTGGCTGTACCTGCTGTATGGTGAGGTCGGTGTGAGATGCATTGTGGGCGTTATTGGCTGTTCTTGCTGTACGGTGAGGTCGGTGTGAGATGCATTGTGGGCATTATTGGCTGTACCTGCTGTATGGTGAGGT